TACTGATTCAGTTCGTATTGGTATTATTAAGATATGAAATCTATGGAATTAAGAAAAAATGTTTTCGATTTTTAATTCTATTAGCTTTTTAGTTTTTTGCTACATGAAATAATGGCCGAATTTCGGTATAGGGTATAAAATTGGAAAAATGCAAAAGATGTTAAGGACAAAATTTCGAAATATTTAGCCATATGTGCATTCATGATACATTTAAGAAAATATATAAATAAAAGACATATGTTATTGAATACAAAAACAAAGCGTGCTTTAAGCTAGTCTTGAAGTAAATTTTGATGGAACGTTAGAACGGAAACGCTAGCAGTTTATGTATGTATGTGAAGTTAGCTATAGCAACCAATTCTTTTTTGGTTTTTAATATCCAGTCGACTGATAGCCATCGGTACGATATGTTCAGATTTTTAAAGTCAAATAAAATAGCAATTTGTGAATATTTAATACCATAAACAATGATAGACATAGTTAAAACATTTTAAAAATGAGTAAATAGAGAAGTAGGAAATCAATTCGTGAACCCTACAAGTGATCGTAAATTCTCACTGGCCATCTACAAGTCATCGTTAGTTGTCGTTGCCCTCAAATAATATTTTAAGTGCTCCTGCATACAAAAGATGAAAAGTTTCTCGATAGTCGATATTCAAAATGTCATTATGTGTTTCTATAGTTTAAATGTCCGTGTTTTTTTCTGTAAGCGTACCTAAGGTGATCATGTTTTAAAAAAAAAGTATTTTGGATACCATCTTATTGATAAAGATTGATAAATCATAAAGGGAGAATCTTGATCTATATAAGTGGTTATATTTGAGAACAACGACAGTTTACAATTATCTGTAAGGGTCACAAAATAACTATTAAATCACTTTTCTTATTTGTATCTACTGTTTTCTGTGTTGTGCTTTGTGTACTGTCGTTTGTCTTTTTTAGCCATGGCGTTGTCAGTTTATTTTCAACTTATGAGTTTGAATGTCCCTTTGGTATCTTTCGCCTCTCTCTTTTAAATATGGTTATATAACTCTTTAAAATACACATTTTAGAATATTTTGACTATCAATGTGGCTGCTAGCGGCCGTTTGAATATTAAATATTGAAACGAACCGGCCGTTTACTTCACATGCATAGTTTAGATTTGGAATTTATCTGGAACATTCGGAATTCTCTGAACTCTACGCGCTGAAACAACTTATTCAAACATGATTTTCATTCAACTTTAAACGTGTTTTTTTTATCAGAAAAATAGAAATGAAATTTGTACATGATAAGATTTTTTTCACATTTTCAGAACCGTAAAGAATTAAAACGATGGATTTTTTAAATCACAGGGTAATTATTTTTTAAGCATTCATGAAATGCAACAAGTTTTAGTATGTGTTATAATTGTAAGCATAACTGCTAAGAAATATGTGTTTTTGTATTTGACTTAGACAGGTATATATGCTGCCCACGTTATTATGAGAAAATGTCATTATAACATAATGATTGCAATAGTTCACGTAATAATACCTGACAAATATTTGATGGAACAAAATTGAACCATATGATAACAAAAATTCTTCCAATATATATAAAAGTGTAATTAATTACCGCGAGGGGGGTAAAAACTTCAAAACAGACAAGGAATCATTCGTGGTATAATTTTCGAAGAAACTTTGGTCTGAACTTTTCAATTGTTATGGCATGCATATGTAGAATCTCGCAATAAAAGATTTGAATTTGTTGTAACATGTATGATTAAACACTGTTTCTTTGTTTTTATATCCATTTTTCTCGCAGGAGTCAGGTGATGGTAGTGGATGTGGTCAGTAGTATTGCACTGTCCATATTTTTTTGCCATTTTCTTTACTTAATTTTCTTAATTTATGTATCATTAGTTTATAAACTTAGAGAACTCATTGTTTGTAAGTGTGCTACAAAGTTTTGAGAAGTACCACAAATGCAAGTGTGAACATATTTTTGTATAAGATAATCAAGGGTCTTTGAAATGTTCATCTTAGTTCTAAAGTACACATAAAAAAAAATAAAACTCAACCATGTGTCTTAGAAAAAACTTACCTTAGAATTATGATAATAAACTAATTCACCAAATTGTATACTTGTGGTATAATCTTTCAATTTCTTATTTTCAAAGTACTGTTGTAATATTAGTTATATTAATCAATTATAACACAGCTGATATTGATTAAATAACATGTAAATATTCAATCAATCGACATCAAAAGATCTTATAATCAATTTTATTCTATTTGTCGTCTACCAGTGGATGTGTTTTTTCTTCTTCTATTTTATGTTAATTTGTCTCACAATTGCAAAAAGTTTTATTTAAATTGATAGGATTTTTTTTTTTTTCAATAATTAAATAAAAGAGAAACACTATCATGTATTTAAAGTGATCATACAAATATCCATAAACAATTATCAGAAACTAAACATTTATAAACTATTGTGTGACAGCAGAGAATTTTTATAAACAATGGTGTGACAGGAGAGAATTTTTATAAACTATGGTGCGACAGAAGAGAATTTTTATAAACTATGGTGTGACAGGAGAGAATTTTCCCCAACTCTTTATATTCCCAATGATCAGAATTTACAATTGTTCTTTCCAACTTTTAACTTTGCATGACCTTTTGTCGCACTTTTAGTCTCCCTAATGTATTAAACTACCTGTAGTCAATATATTTCATTGCAAGCATAAAAAAGTGATCACATACAAAAAACAGAGCACTGCCTTATTATCAAAAACTCTTAATTACCTGCTTTGTCGTAAGTTTAATGATACAGATATATTATTTGCCCTTGTGGCATTTGTATAACAATAATGCCAAAAAACTCATATTTCTTAGATGCATTAACGAAAGTTTTATCTAACCCGAGATAAATCTTTATTTCTGTCTTTAGTTGACCAGATGAAAAAAGTCAGATACGAATAAAAAGAAATGATCAGGAAGTAATCAATAAGAGAGCAAGAGAAACAAAAAACAAAAAACAAAAAACACATTTGATAGACACACAGAATTCAACAAACAGTGTCCAAGAAGATAAGGAGGGAGGGGGGATATGTTATGATTGTCAGTGAGACTACTATCCAACAAAGACAAAAAGGGCAAGAATGTTAACAACTATAGGTCGCAATACGGCCTTCGACGATGAGCAAAACTCATATTGTATAGAAAGCTCAAGAGACTATTACAGATCTGCAATTAACATTATATTCCTGCATGGACAAACATATGATAATAACAACAACTCGTCTGATGAGGTGCCGTTTCACTCAGTTCCAATCACATAGCATTGACTTCACAATTCCCATCACATATCATTGACTTTCCCAATCCCGCCACATACATGTAGCATGGATTGCCTTTATTACTCAGATAAAAAAGAGGCGAAAGATACCAAAGGGACATTCAAACTCAAGTCGAAAATAAACTGACAACGCCCTGGCTAAAAAAGAAAAAAGACAAACACACAAACACACAAAATACAGTAAAGAAAACTAAAGACCCTACCAAAAACTTGGGGTGATCTCAAGTACTCCTGAAGGGTAAGTAGACCCTGCTCTACATGTGGCACCCATCGTGTTTCTCAGATCCCGCCAAATAGTAGACTATACAGATTGTATCACACACCATTGACTACTCAGATCAAAACACAAAACTGAGTACACAGATCCCATCAAATAGAATGGTATTATTAGTTACATAGTGTGCTAGTGACCTAATACGGTATAAATGGGGTCAGTAAATTCCATATGGGGTGAGAGCGAAGCTCGAATCCCCATATGGAATTTACTGACCCCATATATACCGTATTAGGTCACTAGCACACTATGTAACGAATTTATCTTACCGACTATCTTAACGTGTGAAATTTAGACTAGTGACCTATCAAATGAGCAAGTCTTCAATACTGTTAGCATTAAGAAACTACTTCCATTGATCCTACAAAAACAGATACCAACAATAACAACTTGTTAGGTTTAAATGTGTTTTATGAATTAATTTCAATCTTAATCATCACTTTCTTCGTCTGTTGAAACCTTTACGATTTTTTCTCAGTACCGTTTTGCTTTTATAAAGGGACGTAACACCACTACTAACCGTGTATGAAATAAGCTCCGCCTCCCTACTACCTTATAAGGAATATAAAGGGACGTAACACCACTACTAACCGTGTATGAGATAAGCCCCGCCTCCCTACTAACCTAATATGAAATATACACGGTCTCCACGAGGGCGCTTTTAACCAATCACATTCCTAGAAATGTATAGGAGGTAAGATAAAGTTAAATCCAATAAAAAGCATAGACTGCTCTGATTCCGTCACATAGTATTATCTACTCAATGTCTGTTTAATTGAACTTAGGATTTTCGATCTTTACAACCACTGGATCGATGCCACTTTTGGTGGACGTTTCCTACCCGTTGTTATCACCAGCCCAGCAGTCAGCACATTCGTCTCGACATGAAATATTGTTGTAATGAAGATGCATTCAATTAGCATTGACTAATCTGGTCCTATCACATAGCATTAACTCTTCAGATCCGACCACATTAAATATATTATCACAATTCAATCACATAATTTTGACCTCTCAGATCCCTTTAACTATCATTAGCTTCGAATTTCATATCACATAGCATCATGAAAAAAAAAACGCTTTATATAATATGTTATAGATAATTTTCATAGAGACGAATGCCTGTGCATTGACTCCATAGATCCCTTCGCATGTATATTATATCCAGATCTAATCACAAAGCATTGACTCCACAGAACCCTTTACTTAAAATAGACTCAGATACTATCACAAAGCATTGACTCCTCAGAACCCTTCACTTAAAATAGACTCAGATCCTATCACAAAGCATTGACTCCTCAGAACCCTTTACTTAAAATAGACTCAGATTCTATCACAAAGCATTGACTCCTCAGAACCCTTTACTTAAAATAGACTCAGATCATATCACAAAGCATTGACTCACCAGATCCGATCACATTGTATATACTATCCAGATCGAATCACATACTAGTAGCATTGACTCCTCATATCCCTTTTCTTAGTATTGGCTTCTCAGTTTTTTATCAGAAAGCATTACCTCCTCAGATCAATGGATGTGAAGTTAGCGGCCGGTTCGTTATTCGTTATTCGATATTCAATATCCAACCGGCTGCTAGCAGTCGTTTCGATATTCATATTTCTTAGTTGAAAACAATAAAAATTTGAATATTATTTCGATAACATTAAAAACATGATAGTTATAGATAAAAGGAATACAAAAATATGTGGATAATCTTTTTATGACCCCTTCAAGCTGTCGTAAATCTAAACCTTAATGTAAATCGCACATTTGTCTTTATGAAATATAGATTTTAATCAATAAAATGCAATCAGAGATGTACTTTTATACATGATATTTCTAGAAACAAAAACATACGATCACTCAAGTAACATTTAAACATATAAATAGAAATGATTATGGAAAGCCAAAAAAAGAAAAAAAGAAAGAAATCGTCGAAAATTCAGATAAAAGGGCACAGGGCGATAGCTAGACCTCCCTGATCTTTCAATCTTCATAATATTATGCAGATACTTAGTCAATATAAAAAAAGGGATTGGGTAAACTTCTTGTCTTCTATGTTTACGGAGGGCTCAAAGTGCCAGTTTGATATTCAAAATATACAGTGAAACGAAAAGTTCACCAAATTCCTTTTGGTGTCATTCATATCTATATATTAACTTACTATATGCATAATATTATGAAGATTGAGAGACCAGGAAGATCTAACCAACCCATTGGCCCTCTTTCCTGTATTAAGTGTGAATATTTAGTCAATCGAAAATATCTTTTTTTTTGGCTTTCCATAGTTGTTTCTATCTATATTTTCAAATCTTACTAGATTAGCCGTTTGTTTTTGTTTCTTGAAATATGATCTGTTCAATGTACATCTTTGATTATATTTTATTGATAAAAATCTATATTTCATTTCGTAAAGAGAAATATTCGATTTACATAAGGGTTGATATTTGAATTTACGATAACTTGAATTGGTCACAAAAAGATTTCCTACATCTCTTTTTTACTCCTTTTAAATATTACTATGATCATGCTTTTAATGTTTATCGAATGTTTAAATTTCATTTATATTCAGCTAAGAAAATTTGAATATCGAACTGACTGCTAGCAGCCGATTGGATATTGAATATCGAATAACGAATAACGAACCGGTCGCTTACTTCACATACATCTCAGATCAATCACATTATATATGCTGTCCAGATCCAATCTCATAAATAAACTCATTAACGTCTCCTCGGAGACGTTATTAAGATTTGAACGATGGACAGTCTGCGGGCTGAATGCTTCTTACTAACTGATTGGAAGATCTTACTGAGACGTTAATAATTAAAGTTCGTTGATTGGTTGGGATAATCCAAACCTAGTAAATGTCTTTCAATCCCGTAGAGTATCGGACTTGAACTCTCTATTTTAGCAATTAGATTTTGCATGGTTACCAATCATGCATATCGGTACACAGTACACAGGTAACACTTATCTATGAATAGCCGAAACTCCTGAAATCCTGTAAACGCACATGTGATCATTTAACATTCTATCCAGTCGCTCACACAGGGACTCGGTTAGCAGATTAAAATTTTGTTTATCAATGTTTTTCAAATATTTTTTCGTATTTCCTGTCTATTTGTATTACATTATTAACGTTTTTAACGTTGGCATAAATATTTTTTTGTTTTCTAGCAATGTGCAGTTTACAATGATCTACTATCCATATCCGTATACTGAAAAATCCAGGAAAAACGAAAAAGATTTGAAAAACATTGATAAACAAAATTTTAATCTGCTAACGGATAAACCGAGTCCCTGTGGTCGCTCACTGTTACGTACATCTTATGTATACATACTTAGGAAAACATCGTGCTTTTTCTTAGGTTATAAATATTTATATACTTAGTAAGATAATCCAAAGACAAACAAAATGAAAAAGGGAGATATCCAATTCAGATATTTTCGAATAAATATTAATTTAAACTGGGATCTTTATCTCGGAAAAGGGGGGGGGGGGGGGGCGGGGATGCGACCTTTTCATGGTAAAAGCAGAGACCCAAGGGAAAGACATATATATGTATCTGGTAAAAGAACATAGTACCCTAGAGATCAAAAAATAATTTGAGGTTCAATCTTTAACCTAAGTTTGTCTCATATCACCTAATTTTCTCGACTTCATCAAATATCATGAAGCTTAAATAAAGACATATTCTACCTCTCAATACAAATGATAAGTATGATAAAAGCAATTATACATGTATAAACTATCATATTTCAGCAGTGCTTTAAAATTTCTATGAAAGATTTTAAAAGAGATGTGAAGTATACGTAATTAATTTAGACAGCAACCAAATTAAACATCAAACAAAACAATTTACTTCTAAAATTCAACCTACGGTCTTCTACAATGGACATGTCATTACAATATTTAAAGTTTTTAATCCTCCTGAGTCTAGCTATGATATAAAGAATAGTTGTGAATACATGTAAAACTAGACAAAGCGATGCTCCCGCACTCCACTCTGAAGTAACTGTTTTATAACAAAGTCAATGTGAGACTTTCTTTGAGATATTATTGTGTCTGGGAGACACAAATTATACCCCCGCAGATGCAAAGTTTTATTTTAAAATACACAAAGTTGAGCATGGGAGCATGGGGGTTTATGGTTCACTGTAAGAGGACCTCTTATACTGCAAGTAAATACTCCAAAAATGACAAATTTCAACTATCTCCCAAAAGAGCAATTATTAATAAAAATCAAAACCCTGTCCACATGCACACCTTCAATAAATATACAAACAGCCAGCAAAGTGAAAACTTCCTAGCATTCAAACTGTAGGAGGAGTTATCTGGAATAGCTGTATACCCATAATGGGACAGACGGATGGACGGAAGGACGGACGGACAGGGCTAAAACAATATGCCCCCCAACTTTTAGTTGCGGGGGCATAAAAATAATATCTTAATAGCAAAAAATGAATATTACTTAAAACAATGAGCAGGGTCAAGAACTAACTTCTAGTAGTTGTTTTGAGGTTTATCGACCATTTATACTATATATATATATGCTATATGAGAGAATGAGAATAAAATTATAAATTTCAAATACGAAAATACTGTTGGCATTTTAAAAGAACGGTCTCTAACAAAAGATTATGTCAATCCAGTATGTTAAGCTTTGAACGCTAAGATTCGTACGATAAGGACCTTATTTGACACCCAACATTTAACGGTTTACTGCTTAATTACGTGTTTGGTAAAATTTGTTGATTTATATGCAAGGCTATTCTGAATGAATTAATCTACAAAGCGAGAACACTTTCCACTTCATCAGCTAAGAGACGGCTAGCTTTTTTAGAAAAGCTATTACTTGTCATGTATACCAGGCTTAAAATTTTGTACGCAGGACGCGCGTTTCGTCTACAAAAGACTCATTAGTGACGCTCGAACTGACTTCTCGTTTGCGTACACTTAGAAATGATTACTCTATCATTGAATATTCTGATCCCATTATACATATACAGATTTCTCTTTTGTTCAACTGAATTTAAAGAAGCCGGTTAAGGAAATAATAGTAGATGGTATTAAAAGGTCTTTACAATTTAAAGATTATCTATTGAGTAAGCTAGTAATATCATTGTAAACGACACGTTTTCTAAACTTTAAATAGTTGCAAGAGACCAAGTTTTGGAGGCAAAATATAAAACATTCAATCGGGACAAAAACAGAAATCAGGAAACTAAGAAAAATTTCTTCGTATCACATTTTATAATCTAACCGACCTGACCAACAATGCATGTCGTATGATGAAATATTTACAACTGTTGATGATTAAAAAAAACCAGACAATTCATATGGTGAGTAACAACGTCCATGAAAAACTTATACTTCAATTAAATGAGCATTTATTTTTAAAACATTTAATAGCTGTAGTTAATATATGTAATGTTCTATAATTAGTTAAACAGACATTCATTGAAACTTCAAGCGCTTGTTAGTTAAGAAAAAATTATCAATGAATAATCTGAGTTGATGGCCTGTCATCGCTTATCTGGTATTAACAATTATCATTTTAATGACAGTTATTTGAACTTTCATATATAAACATTTCACATATATAGATGAGTAAATGCGAACAAAATTATAAGCAAGCGTTTCATTCTTTCCACAAGAAGAAACTTTTAAAAGGTGTCTGATATCGATTTTAAACAGCCTTCTTTTAGTGGGTGTAATCCTGTGAAACACAACTATCACAAGGAGAGCAGTAACTAAGTTCTCTCCAGGAACACGTGAATTAACTTCAGTTTCAATTGCTTGATCTTAAGTTTTCGGGGCCTCGGTGGCCAAGTGGTCTAAGTAGTTCTACTACTGTAATCACTAGCTAGTCAACACTGAGGTTGTGAGTTCGAACCACGCTCGTGCGGGTGCACTCGACTCCAATCTTAATTGACTAGGATTTCGAAGGTCGGTGGTTTTCTCCGGGCACTCCGGCTTCCTCCACCAATAACAACTGGCCGCCTCGAAATAGCCCAAATGTGGCGTTTAAAAGTGGCGTTAAAACACCAACAATCAATCAATCAATCTTAAGTTTTCTGTGCAGAGGTTTTTGGACCTGTTTGACTTGTTTATTATTTTTTTCCATGGTGTTTTTTATGCTACGAAGAAGTGTTCTTTGGAAAATTTAAATAAATTGAAAAAAGATGTTAAACATTTGATACAGTAGAAATAAAACAAAATATAAAATAAGCAAATGTGAACTTCTAGTAAGTAATTTTTAAAACTGAAAGTCTTATGCAAAATATAAGAAAGTGACATTATTTTAGAAATTGAGAGTGGTAATTACCAAATATTTAAAAGATAACAGAATTCAAGAACATTGTAATAGAACGAAGTTGAGTTGTCCCAGGTGATGAAAGGGTTTGGCGCCAGCAAACATGTTTAACCCTGCCACATTATTTATGTACCTATCCAAAGTCAAGAGCCTGTAGTTCAGTGGTTGTCGTTGGTTCATGTCTGTCATATTTGTTCTTCGTAAATTGCTTTGTTATAAATTAGGCTGTTAGGTTTTTCAATTGAATGTTTCACATTTTTCATGTCGAGGTCTTTTATAGCCGACTATACGGTGTTGGTCTTTCTCATTGTTGAAGGCCGTACGGTTGCCTATAATTGCTTACATCCACTTCATTTGAACTTTGGTGGATAGTTGTTTCATTCGTTATCATAACACATCTTTTCTTATTTTCATATTTTCATATTGACGATAAAATTCGTTTATTCTTTTCATGCGAAATTGATAGGTATTTACGTAAACAGCTTGAAAAAGACATTGACTGTATCTATCCAGGATTCACATATATGTAAAAGAATAAATTGCTATTTAATTCGTTTATATGTCACCAAACCCTCAGGGTATAATTATTTGATTTGTTTATATGTCACCATACCCTCAGGGCATAAATATGTATTTTATGAATAAACAGTTACAGGTGACGAGTTTTACTGTACATAAATGGGAAAAAAGATTAATTGTTAGTAAGACAGGAACGCTCTAGCTGCAGGAAATGGTTTACGAAAACCCGAATAAAAATCATATAAAACATTATCCCCTTTTGTAGCTTACTACCTAAAACCATAGACAAAATTAGAGACAAGTATTATCTCTATGAAAAATTCCAAGTTCAAGAATTGTGATGACATCAAAATTGATTTAGAGAACATCATGAACCGAGCATTTATCTACAAGAATTGGAATCGTAGATACAAATTTAACGTTTTAGGTCATGAAATATCGTACTTTGTAAAGAACCATACTGATTCCGAAAACAAATACAACGAAGATTATATCATAAAAATACTGCACTTTTTAATAGAAAACATATTTGTTCACTTTAATGGGTTGATATTTCAACAGACGGCCGGTATTCCAATAAATCCTTATTGTGCATTCCTACTGGTCAACTTGTCTTTTTTCTAATATGAAGCAGACTTCATACAAAACCTTTTGAATGACCAAACAAAAGCATCTTGCAAAGTTCTTTAAGTTCAATTTCAGATAATTTGATGTCTTGTCACTCAAGAACCCACATATCAATGGCATTGAGATTAATGACACTACCGAAACTAAGAAGTATGTTTCATATCTTGATCGTTTCCTTAAAATTGACACAGATGGACGACTTCAAACTAGAATGTATGACAAAAATTATGATTTGAACTTTCCATTTATCACCTTTTAATTTTTCAGCGGTCACATACCCTCTACTCCATCTCAATAGACATTAATGTATTGTTGTTTACACACATGAAGACACAAACATTGCTACTATACAACAGAATTATGAAAAGAACGATTGCTTTCAACACCACATGTCTCAACTCACTAGCGACAAGTTTTCGTGTTCATAGACGAAATGCCACCTCAATAAGTAACTTATCCTAATGCAACGGCATACCAAATCAACATCTGAAATCAATTTACCAGTTCTGGGTAACAGTTGTTTTGTCTAAATGTTTGGACAGCTCATTTTATCAATATAAAAGAGGGACGAAAGATACCAGAGGGACAGTCAAACTCATAGATCGAAAACAAACTGACAACGCCATGGCCAAAAATAAAAAAACAAACAGACAAATAATAGTACAGATGACACAACATAGAAAACTAAAGACTAGGCAACACGAACCCCACCAAAAACTGGGGGTGATCTCAGGTGCTCCGGAAGGGAAAGCAGATCCTGCTCCACATGTGGCACCCGTCGTGTTGCTTATGTTATTACAAATCCGGTAAATAGTCTAATTCGGTAGGTCACATTCGTGAAGAGGGAAGGGTATTGTAGTTTCGACATAAGGAGCATATCCGATATCATCTGTGAAACGGTTATTCCATAACGGTCAACCAACTCGTGATGGCGTCCGTAAAATTTACGAAGGGATGATTTCAACTTCACCATTTGGAACTCTTGGTTTAATAGCTTCCTTGTGAGCAGCAATCCTCTATACTGTACTTGGCTTCACTGTGTGGCGGAGGAAAAGGGGGTGCATGATAATATCGTGTTAATTCGTGATCTTTGGCAAAAGTAGAGAACTTTAAAAATCATAGATTAATTTATTTTAATTTCTCTTGCTTAAATGGATTATTTTGGTACCGAACCTTACGAGTGTCAGTCAAAATCCGTTCTTCTCTGTTAATTTATAAAGTGTCATTGAGATCTAAAGCAGAATACGTGATGTGATATTTTGATTGATTTATTGTTGTTTAACTTACGCCCAGTGACAAATATTTAGTTATTTTGATTGCATTCTGTTAGATTTTTTCATATATGTAAATTAATTCAGTTTTTCCCGGTAAGAAATGGATTGAGGGAAGTTTTCTCAGCTGCTAAGTTTTGAACTTTTGACAAGTTTTCAAATGTTTGTTATTATTACCTTCATCATGTTCATGTAGCGAAATCATTTATTACTTGAACAGTTATTATTGTAAAGTCACGTTAATATTCAATGGAAGAAAATAAAAATTATATCTTTTAAAATTCCTCTACAAAAAAACATTACTTTTATTTATACAGTGCCCTTCCCTGATGATGAGAACTCCTACTTTTCCGTATTGATTTATTTTGTAGAGATATATCATGGTTTAATTTGGTCCTTAAACTATCATTAAGTGTAACCATAAAATACGAGATAAACAGTCCTTATTCCCCAGTAGTTTGTATTAATCAACACGTTAAATGCGAGAGGAGTGTGACTGGGACATATTAAACAGATAGCGGAAGAAATTTATTATCGCTTAGCTCTTAACTTAATTGAGTAGAATGAACTACATTTTGAAGATAAAATGAGGTGTATGGGTCTGATTTCAAGGAAAATAATTATAACGGATTCATGAAGTTATTTTTTTTAAGTTCAAAATTCTTCTGTTCTAACCTTCCTTTTTATAATCCCAAACCAAGTTGTTTGGGCAGGTAATCCAAAGAAAATGAAAGCGCCGAATAATAAAATGTAATTGCATTACTTAGCCGTTTCATAACATTCTGTAATTTTTTATTGGCAGACATCAATCGTGAGGCATTCCAAGATGTTATTTGCACAACATCGTAGCATATAAGAATACACGTACTATCAATCGTGATTAAAAAGGTAAACGGTTGAGATTTTAAAAAAAAACTAGTTTAACCTCGACCTGACTCAAGCTAGCGAACAATTGTAGCGAACAATTAGCTAGCGAACAATTAGGAGGTATAACTAAAAACCACAATATCACATAAGTATATCACGTTTTTTCGAGCTAGCGAACAATTATGAGAATACATACAATCTTAAACAAAAACGAAAAAACTAACTTAAAACAAAAGGGAAACCATACTTCATATATAAAGAATACAAAGCTTTTCTTTCCTAACTAAATAAATCCACATAAGGCATTCAATAGACAGCTGGATTACAATGACCATAAGTTAACACATTGACACAATTCATTTTTAGGGAATGGGGGTGCACTTTACGTTGTTTGGTCCGATTAATAGAGATTGTGACAGGTTACGACTATATAGGTGTTTAAGAGGAGAAAGTGCCGCATCGTTTAGGAAAATCTCCAGAGTGGTTTATGTTCGAAAATCTTAAATTGTGGTAGAAAAAAACTGAAATTAACAAAATGAAATTATGGTATAGGACATTTTAAGTTATTTTTTGACCAATTTGACTAGATTTTTACAGGCAACGACTATATAGGTGTTTTAGAGGAGACATTTCCGCATCGTTTAGGAAAATCTCCAGAGTGGTTTATGTTCGAAAATCTGAAGTTACGGTTAAAAAACTGAAATTGTGAAATTTACAAAATGAGATTAGGGGGATAGGCCAATTTAAGTTAATTTTGGACCAATTTCAAGAGATTGTGACGGGCAACGACTATATAGGTGTTGTAGAAGAGACAATTGCGCATCGTTTAAGAAAATCTCCAGAGTGGTTTATGTTCGAAAATCTGAAGTTACGGTTAAAAAACTGAAAATTTTATTGTGAAATTGACAAAATGAGATTAGGGGGGTAGGGCACTAAAAGAAAAATTTGGACCAATTTTAAGAGATTGTGACGGGCAACAACTATAAAGGTGTTGTAGAGGAGACATTGGCGCATCGTTTAAGAAAATCTCCAGAGTGGTTTATGTTCGAAAATCTGAAGTTACGGTTAAAAAACTGAAAATTTTATTGTGAAATTGACAAAATGAGATTAGGGGGGTAGGGCACTAAAAGAAAAATTTGGACCATTTTAAAGAGATTGTGAAGGGCAAGGACTATATAGATGTTGTAGAGGAGACATTGGCGCATCGTTTAAGAAAATCTCCAGAGTGGTTTATGTTCGAAAATCTGAAGTTACGGTTAAAAAACTGAAATTGTGAAATTGACAAAATGAGATTAGGCCAATTTAAGTTAATTTTGGACCAATTTCAAGAGATTGTGACGGGCAACGACTATAAAGGTGTTGTAGAGGAGACATTGGCGCATCGTTTAAGAAAATATCTAGAGTGGTTTATGTTCGAAAATCTGAAGTTACGGTTAAAAAATTGAAATTGTGAAATTGACAAAATGAGATTAGGGGGGTAGGGCACTACAGAAAAATTTGGACCATTTTAAAGAGATTGTGACGGGCAACGACTATATAGGTGTTGTAGAAGAGACATTGGCGCATCGTTTAAGAAAATCTCCAGAGTGGTTTATGTTCGAAAATCTGAAGTTACGGTTAAAAAACTGAAAACTTTATTGTGAAATTGACAAAATGAGATTAGGGGGGGTAGGGCACTAAAAGAAAAAAATAGACCATTTTAAAGAGATTGTGACCGGCAACGACTATATAGGTGTTGTAGAGGAGACATTGGCGCATCGTTTAAGAAAATCTCCAGAGTGGTTTATGTTCGAAAATCTGAAGTTACGGTTAAAAAACTGAAATTGTGAAATTGACAAAATGAGATTAGGCCAATTTAAGTTAATTTTGGACCAATTTCAAGAGATTGTGACGGGCAACGACTATATAGGTGTTGTAGAGGAGACATTGGCGCATCGTTTAAGAAAATCTCCAGAGTGGTTTATGTTCGAAAATCTGAAGTTACGGTTAAAAAACTGAAATTGTGAAATTGACAAAATGAGATTAGGGGGGTAGGCCAATTTAAGTTAATTTTGGACCAATTTCAAGAGATTGTGACGGGCAACGACTATATAGGTGTTGTAGAAGAGACATTGGCGCATCGTTTAAGAAAATCTCCAGAGTGGTTTATGTTCGAAAATCTGAAGTTACGGTTAAAAAACTGAAAACTTTATTGTGAAATTGACAAAATGAGATTAGGGGGGGTAGGGCACTAAAAGAAAAATTTAGACCATTTTAAAGAGATTGTGACGGGCAACGACTATATAGGTGTTGTAGAGGAGACATTGGCGCATCGTTTAAGAAAATCTCCAGAGTGGTTTATGTTCGAAAATCTGAAGTTACGGTTAAAAAACTGAAATTGTGAAATTGACAAAATGAGATTAGGCCAATTTAAGTTAATTTTGGACCAATTTCAAGAGATTGTGACGGGCAACGACTATATAGGTGTTGTAGAGGAGACATTGGCGCATGGTTAAAGAAAATCTCCAGAGTGGTTTATGTTCGAAAATCTGAAGTTACGGTTAAAAAACTGAAATTGTGAAATTGACAAAATGAGATTAGGGGGGTAGGCCAATTTAAGTTAATTTTGGACAAATTTCAAGAGATTGTGACGGGCAACGACTATATAGGTGTTGTAGAAGAGACATTGGTGCATCGTTTAAGAAAATCTCCAGAGTGGTTTATGTTCGAAAATCTGAAGTTTCGGTTAAAAAACTGAAAATTTTAGTGTGAAATTGACAAAATGAGATTAGGGGGGTAGGGCACTAAAAGAAACATTTGGACCATTTTAAAGAGATTTTGACGGGCAACGACTATATAAGTGTTGTAGAGGAGACATTGGCGCATCGTTTAAGAAAATCTCCAGAGTGGTTCATGTTCGAAAATCTGAAGTTACGGTTAAAAAACTGAAATTGTGAAATTGACAAAATGAGATTAGGGGAGTAGGACACTAAAAGAAATTTTTGGACCAATCTAAAGAGATTGTGACGGGCAACGACTATATAGGTGTTGTAGAGGAGACATTGGCGCATCGTTTAAGAAAATCTCCAGAGTGGTTTATGTTCGAAAATCTGAAGTTACGGTTAAAAAACTGAAATTGTGAAATTGACAAAATGAGATAAGGGGGTGTAGGGCAATAACAGAAAAAATTGGACCATTTTAAAGAGATTGTGACAGGCAACGACTATATAGGTGTTGTAGAGGAGACATTGGCCCATCGTTTAAGAAAATCTCCAGAGTGGTTTATGTTCGAAAATCTGAAGTTATGGTTAAAAAACTGAAATTGTGAAATTGACAAAATAAGATTAGGCCAATTTAAGTTAATTTTGGACCAATTTCAAGAGATTGTGACGGGCAACGACTATATAAGTGTTGTAGAGGAGACATTGGCGCATCGTTTAAGAAAATCTCCAGAGTGGTTTATGTTCGAAAATCTGAAGTTACGGTTAAAAAACTGAAATTGTGAAATTGACAAAATGAGATTAGGGGGGTAGGACACTAAAAGAAATTTTTGGACCAATCTAAAGAGATTGTGACGGGCAACGACTATATATGTGTTGTAGAGGAGACATTGGCGCATCGTTTAAGAAAATCTCCAGAGTGGTTTATGTTCGAAAATCTGAAGTTACGGTTAAAAACTGAAATTGTGAAATTGACAAAATGAGATTAGGGGGGTAGGGCACTAACAGAAAAATTTGGACCATTTTAAAGAGATTGTGACGGGCAACGACTATATAGGTGTTGCAGAGGAGACATTGGCGCATCGTTTAAGAAAATCTCCAGAGTGGTTTATGTTCGAAAATCTGAAGTTACGGTTAAAAAACTGAAATTGTGAAATTGACAAAATGAGATTAGGGGGGTAGGGCACTAACAGAAAAATTTGGACCATTTTAAAAAGATTGTGACAGGCAACTACTATATAGGTGTTGTAGAGGAGACATTGGCCCATCGTTTAAGAAAATCTCCAGAGTGGTTTATGTTCGAAAATCTGAAGTTATGGTTAAAAAACTGAAATTGTGAAATTGACAAAATGAGATTAGGCCAATTTAAGTTAATTTTGGACCAATTTCAAGAGATTGTGACGGGCAACGACTATATAAGTGTTGTAGAGGAGACATTGGCGCATCGTTTAAGAAAATCTCCAGAGTGGTTTATGTTCGAAAATCTGAAGTTACGGTTAAAAAACTGAAATTGTGAAATTGACAAAATGAGATTAGGGGGGTAGGGCACTAACAGAAAAATTTGGACCATTTTAAAGAGATTGTGACAGGCAACGACTATATAGGTGTTGTAGAGGAGACATTGGCGCATCGTTTAAGAAAATCTCCAGAGTGGTTTATGTTCGAAAATCTGAAGTTACGGTTAAAAAACTGAAATTGTGAAATTGACAAAATGAGATTAGGCCAATTTAAGTTAATTTTGGACCAATTTCAAGAGATTGTGACGGGCAACGACTATATAGGTGTTGTAGAGGAGACATTGGCGCATCGTTTAAGAAAATCTCCTGAGTGGTTTATGTTCGAAAATCTGAAGTTACGGTTAAAAAACTGAAATTGTGAAATTGACAAAATGAGATTAGGGGGGTAGGGCACTAACAGAAAAATTTGGACCATTTTAAAGAGATTGTGACAGGCAACGACTATATAGGTGTTGTAGAGGAGACATTGGCGCATCGTTTAAGAAAATCTCCAGAGTGGTTTATGTTCGAAAATCTGAAGTTACGGTTAAAAAACTGAAAATTTTATAATTGACAAAATGAGATTAGGGGGGTAGGCCAATTTAAGTTAATTTTGGACCAATTTCAAGAGATTTTACCGGGAACGACTATATAGGTGTTTTAGAGGAGACATTGGCGCATCGTTTAAGAAAATCTCCAGAGTGGTTTATGTTCGAAAATCTGAAGTTACGGTTAAAAAACTTTATTGTGAAATTGACAAAATGAGATTAGGAGGGTAGGGCACTAACAGAAAAATTTGGACCAATTTAAAATATTGTGACGGGCAACGACTATAAAGGTGTTGTAGAGGAGACATTGGCGCATCGTTTAAGAAAATCTCCAGAGTTGTTTATGTTCGAAAATCTGAAGTTACGGTTAAAAAACTGAAATTGTGAAATTGACAAAATGAGATTAGGGGTGTAGGCCAATTTAAGTTAATTTTGGACCAATTTTAAGAGATTGTGACGGGCAACGACTATATAGGTGTTGTAGAGGAGACATTGGCGCATCGTTTAAGAAAATCTCCAGAGTGGTTTATGTTCGAAAATCTGAAGTTATGGTTAAAAAACTGAAATTGTGAAATTGACAAAATGAGATTAGGCCAATTTAAGTTAATTTTGGACCAATTTCCAGAGATTGTGACGTGCAACGACTATATAGGTGTTGTAGAGGAGACATTGGCGCATCGTTTAAGAAAATCTCCTGAGTGGTTTATGTTCGAAAATCTGAAGTTACGGTTAAAAAACTGAAATTGTGAAATTGACAAAATGAGATTAGGGGGGTAGGCCAATTTAAGTTAATTTTGGACCAATTTAAAGAGATTGTGACGGGCAACGACTATATAGGTGTTGTAAAGGAGACATTGGCGCATCGTTTAAGAAAATCTCCAGAGAGGTTTATGTTCGAAATTCTGAAGTTACGGTTAAAAAACTGAAAATTTTATTGTGAAATTGACAAAATGAGATTAGGGGGGTAGGTCACTAAAAGAAAAATTTGGACCATTTTAAAGAGATTGTGACGGGCAACGACTATATAGGTGTTGTAGAGGAGACATTGGCGCATCGTTTAAGAAAATCTCCAGAGTGGTTTATGTTCGAAAATCTGAAGTTACGGTTAAAAAACTGAAATTGTAAAAACGAGGGATGGCGTACCTTAAGATGATTGAAGACCAATTTATAGAGATTGTGACGGGCAAAGACTGTATATGTAACGTAGAGGAGACATTAGAGAAGACATTGGCGTATCTATTTAGAAAAACTCCAGAATCGTTTATGTTTGGAAATCTGAAGTTAGGTTAAAAAAAATAGGGGGGGGGGGGTTTACCTTGTATAATGGAATGATGTTACTTTTTATACTTGTATCTCCGAGCTTCGTTGAGTATAATAGGGTAATAGCTAAATTTCTGATGAACTTTGTCAAATTATTTGACTGAGACAATTTCAATTTTTTTTACAAAATAATGAAAATATGAGAGAACAGTAATACAAAAACGAAATTTAAAACACAACTTTGATTTGAATTTAAAATTTTAATAGATGTTTATATCAATGTTTATTGTTTTCTCTGTCCGAACTCAGCATCTGTCAAATTCATAAATGTTATGGGGACGATACGCAAGTTTATGGCAAGAGTTGATAGATGTTCGTCTGTGGTAGCTAATAACGGTTTATTATCTTTCTCGTGAACTAGGTTGCACGTGTTCCAATTTTAGTGTTTGTCAACTTTTATGTTAATCAGTTGTTTCTAGATTTTAGAAGAATTAGCTGTTCGATATTTACATTTACTCGCGTGTGAAATAATTCTAGTGAAAAAAATATCACAAAAAGGAATTCTATAACCTATCAATAATTTTAGCTTATTATGCCCCCGCCGTAGCGGAGGGGCATTAAGATTTACCCTTGTCCGTCTGTACGTCCGTGCGTCTGTACGTCCCAAATAATGCCTATGCTAAATATAATATAAAAGTCCGAGTCATCCTTTTCGCCCCATTAACAAAAACCATATATCACAAAAAGGAACTCGATAACCTATCAATATTTTTTAGCTTATTATGCCCCCGCCGTAGCGGAGGGGCATTAAACTTTACCCTTGTCCGTCTGTACGTCCATGCATCCGTATGTCCCAAATAATGCCAATGCTAAATTTAATGTAAAAGTCCGAGTCATCCTTTTCGCCCCATTTAAAAAAACAATCATATATCACAAAAAGGAACTCGATAACCTATCAATATTTTTTAGCTTATCATGCCCCCGCCGTTGCGGAGGGGCATTAAACTTTACCCTTGTCCGTCTGTACGTCCGTGCATCCGTATGTCCCAAACAATGCCAATGCTAAATTTAATGTAAAAGTCCGAGTCATCCTTTTCGCCCCATTTAAAAAAACAATCATGATATATCACAAAAAGGAACTCGATAACCTATCAATATTTTTTAGCTTATTATGCCCCCGCCGTAGCGGAGGGGCATTAAACTTTACCCTTGTCCGTCTGAACGTCCCTGTGTCCGTACGTCCCAAAATTGGTTTCCGTTCTCTAACTTTTTTTTAATTAGTTTGCCTCAACCAATTGTCATAAAACTTATACACAATATATAGATATAAGAAGATGTGGTATGAGTGCCAATGAGACAACTCCCCATCCAAGTCAAAATTTATAAAAGTAAACAATTATAGGTCAAAGTACTGTCTTCATTATGGAGCCTTAGCTCACACCGAACAGCAAGCTGTAAAGGGCCCCAAAAATTACTAGTGTAAAACCATTCAAACGGGAAAACCAACGGTCTAATCTATATAAAAAACGAGAAACGAGAAAACACTTATGAACCACATCAACAAACGATGCTTATTACCACAAAACACAGATCAAATTTTAATTTTGGTTACGTCACTTTTACCGTTCTAGAGTTATACTCCTTTACAAATAGAAAAATTGCTGAAATTTTCATTTCCGTTCTCTTTAACTCCAATTTGTTTCAACCAAATGTTATTTTGTTCCATAACTTATGCTCTTCTGACTTAAAGTATCAATTTAAGCTCGGTTTTTATGTTAGAATTTCACCTACCTACACCCTACAGATGGCTTTATTACACATTTTTGAATATTCAAAAAGAGCATTCTAAGGATAATTTTATATTCAACGTGTATAACTTCAATTGATGTTTTTACCTTTGACGTTTTTTATAAACTTTTATTTCCCGTCTTACGAAAAGAGAAGAAGTCTGTTTGTTAACATTTTACACCATATTCACACGAAAAAAACATGATAACACTCGAAAAAGACCGATCAATTCACGCTTTAAAACGATCCAGGGTACAAAATCGTCTATTTTGTCGTCGTGACGTTTTCTTTTGATTTTTGTCGAGCCTGCGACTTTTGTCGCAAAAGCGAGACATAGCGATCCTACATTCCGTCGTCGGCGTTGTCGTCGTCGTCGTCCGGCGTCGTCGGCGGCGTCCACAAATATTCACTCTGTGGTTAAAGTTTTTGAAATTTTAATAACTTTCTTAAACTATCCTGGATTTCTAATAAACTTGGACAGAAGCTTGTTTATGATCATAAGATAGTATCCAGAAGTAAATTTTGTAAAAAAAAAATCTGTTTATCCGTATTTTACTCATAAATGGACTTAGTTTTTCTGCCGGTTAACATTACATTCACTCTGTGGTTAAAGTTTTTCAAATCTTAATAACTTTCTTAAACTATCCTGGATTTGTACCAACCTTGGACAGAAGCATGTTTATAATCATAAAATAGTATCCAGAAGTTAATTTTGTTAAAAAAATAATCCTGTTTATCCGTATTTTACTTATAAATAGACTTAGTTTTTCTGCCAGTTAACATTACATTCACTCTGTGGTTAAAGTTTTCAAACTTTTAATAACTTTCTTAAACTATCCTGGATTTGTACCAAACTTGGACAGAAGCTTGTTTATGATCAAAAGCTAGTATCTAGAAGGAAATTTTGTAAAAAAAAATTTCCTGTTTTTCCGTATATTACTTATAAATGGACTTAGTTTTTCTTCCAGTTAACATTACATACAGTCTGCAGTTAAAGTTTTTAAAACATTTATTAGATTTATAAACCATCAGATAGTATCTAGAGGAAAATTTGTAATAATTATTTCCCCATTTTTGTTGAGCCTGCGACTAACAGCAAAAGTAGGCGAGACACTTGGTTTCACGGAACCCTTACGAATTTGTTCGTATGAAACTGAAATGTAATCATATGTCAAAATCTGCAAAAAGCAAAAGTATTGCTGTTTATACAAGTATTACTTTTATTTAAAGTAAGTTCTCTGGGGTAAATTTCAGCAGTATGATTAGGGAATTCTTTATTATTTGAAGCAAAAATGCCATCAAGGTAACGGTAAGCGTTATTAAATGTATCTATCAAATGGAATTTAGACGAATCTTCACTAAGAAATTGGCCATTAACTGAAATTCATAACAATACAGGAACAAGTTCTGAAGTAAAGTATCATAAGGATGAAAATTAAGAATTGAAAAAAGTAGTTTTGTAGATAAATTGACTTGTGATTACAATGTAGATTTTAATCATTCCAATAAAGAGTTGGACCAAGTGATACCGGAGCGGACTGTTGGTTGCAGGCTGCAATCGGCAAGTCAGTTGAATATGAAGGAGGAAAGAAAATATAAGTGTTTCACCAAAACATTATATATACGGGTATATAAGGTTCAATTTGTGAATATTTGAAAAATGTGTAAGAATGTTTCGTATTTTATTTCCTTTTTTAAACTGAACGAAGGTTTGAAATTTATTTGAAATTGATTCTTAATGTTATAAAACTTATATGTATGAGTGCCATTATATGAATTTAACAATTATGAGACAAATAACAAATGATTTACCAGCGGTAAAATTTTAGCTGGAGAAGTTAACTTGCTACGGATAAATAGCAGAAAATGTAGAAATTTCGAGAAATCACACATAGCGATGTGTACGAAACAGAACCTTTTCAGGAAGAAATACACGACTTTATCAAAATTCCACTGAAAGAATTGTTATGAAAAACAATGACCATAACGCCGGAGTACTTTTTGTTGATTTACAAAGTCATTTAAAAGTGTGCAAAGTTTGCTACAATTCCATTACGACCTTTCTTAAACTATTTATGTTAAATGTTTTGTTATTTTGTTATGTTATATTAAGCATGTAATATCACTTTTCATTTAATGTGTGTGTCCCCCCACCCCCACCCCCCCCCCCCCCCCCTGTTTCTTTAATAAAACATGAATTGAAATCTAGAGACACATGATAGATTATCATGATAAAGATTATAGAAAGCCATTTAAAACAATTTACCAAATCTCTAAGGTTAGAATTTTATTGTGTGAACCATCAAATTTTAAGGTGGATTAATTGGTTTCAGTGACAGATTTCCTCTTACAATATTTTATAACAAGTTTAATTGTTTCAATTGAAGGATTTATGCCCATCTGTCCAAACTCATTAAAACAAAAGTAAATAAGATGTAATAGTTATGTGCAATTCAGTATCCCTTTACCGTGATTTTCATCCTTAAATTAAATGAAGTAATTAAAAACTTGTATCTGTCAAGACCTATTGTTATTGTTATTGTAAAATGAATGAGTATTCATTCGGTATAAACAAAACCAAATGAAGTGCAAATGTCAATCATTAAGCAACCCAACAAAAAGTAACTAAATAATAAGAACATACATTTCAAATATTAACAGAAGTATACATAATTAAATGTTTAGAAAAACCTCATTTAATTCCATTCCCATTGTTAATTCTAAACGTAGAATGAGAGGAAAATATTTATTTGTTTGCATGTATATGTTCACGAATACGTAGTAATCTAAAGAAAAGGGAAAACGTAAGCATTTCATAATTGTGACTTTCAAATTATGTCTATTTTTGTTATTGTAATAAATAAACCATTTTCGGCCACTTGCCCTCTTCTGTTTCCGTATGTTTTTTCTTTATTATTTTGTGATATTTATTTATTAAAGATAATAATTATGTTTATTTAGACAAATTACGAATTTTGAATGACTACTACACAAAGTGAGATATCGAAAAAAGAAAGCACTATCAAGCCCATTCAAATGCCTAATCAAATGATCACTTTAAAATTACTGCCAATACTACTTCAAGTGATCTGAAATATATTGTACATGTCAATAAATGTCTGAAGGTATATAAATTGTCACTTTGATTAATTGGGAAATAATTAATTTTAAACATTAAGGATGAGTGTTGGTCTATTTTTCAAGATTTTAAATATGCATGAGTCAACTTCCACATACAGTTGAGACCGTTTTGTGGTAATAAGCATTGTGTCTAAGTTTCATAACATTTGGTTGAGGCAAACTGAAGTTGGAGAACGGACGCGAAAATTTCATCAATTTTTCCGTTTTTGTCAATTTCACTATTTCAGTTTTTTAACCGTAACTTCAGATTTTCGAACATTAACCACTCTGGAGATTTTCCTAAACGATGCGCCAATGTCTCCTCTACAACACCTATATAATCGTTGCCCGTCACAATCTCTTGAAATTGGTCCAAAATTAACTTAAATTGGCCTACCCCCTAATCTCATTTTGTCAATTTCACATTTTCAGTTTTTTAACCGTAACTTCAGATTTTCGAACATAAACCACTCTGGAGATTTTCTTAAACGATGCGCCATTGTCTCCTCTACAACACCTATATAGTCGTTGCCCGTCACAATCTCTTGAAATTGGTCCAAAATTAACTTAAATTGGCCTACCACCCTAATCTCATTTTGTCAAATTCACAATTTCAGTTTTTTAACAATATTAACTTCAGATTTTCGAACATAAACCACTCTGGAGATTTTCTTAAACGATGCGCCAATGACTCCTTTACAACACCTATATAGTCGTTGCCCGTCACAATCTCTTTAAAATGGTCCAAATTTTTCTTTTAGTGCCCTACCCCCCTAATCTCATTTTGTCAATTTCACAATAAAAATTTCAGTTTTTTAACCGTAACTTCAGATTTTCGAACATAAACCACTCTGGAGATTTTCCTAAACAATGCGCCAATGTCTCCTCTACAACACCTATATAGTCGTTGCCCGTCACAATCTCTTGAAATTTGTCCAAAATTAACTTAAATTGGCCTCCCCCTAATCTCATTTTGTCAATTTCACAATTTTAGTTTTTTAACTGTAACTTCAGATTTTCGAACACAAACCACTCTAGAGATTTTCTTAAACGATGCGCCAATGTCTCCTCTACAACACCTTTATAGTCGTTGCCCGTCACAATCTCTTTAAAATGGTCAAATTTTTTCTTTTAGTGCCCTACCCCCCTAATCTCATTTTGTCAATTTCACAATTTCAGTTTTTTTAACCGTAACTTCAGATTTTCGAACATAAACCACTCTGGAGATTTTCTAAAACGATGCGCCAATGTCTCCTCTACAACACCTATATAGTTGTTGCCCGTCACAATCTCTTTAAAATGGTCCAAATTTTTCTTTTAGTGCCCTACCCCCCTAATCTCATTTTGTCAATTTCACAATAAAATTTTCAGATTTTTAACCGTAACTTCAGATTTTCGAACATAAACCACTCTGGAGATTTTCTTAAACGATGCACCAATGTCTCTTCTACAATACCTATATAGTCGTTGCCCGTCACAATCTCTTGAAATTGGTCCAAAATTAACTTAAATTGGCCTACCCCCTAATCTAATTTTGTCAATTTCACAGTTTCAGTTTTTTAACCGTAACTTCAGATTTTCGAACATAAACCACTCTGGAGATTTTCTTAAACGATGCGCCAATGTCTCCTCTACAACACCTTTATAGTCGTTGCCCGTCACAATCTCTTTAAAATGGTCAAAATTTTTCTTTTAGTGCCCTACCCCCATAATCTCATTTTGTCAATTTCACAATTTCAGTTTTTTTAACCGTAACTTCAGATTTTCGAACATAAACCACTCTGGAGTTTTTCCTAAACGATGCGCCAATGTCTCCTCTACAACACCTATATAGTCGTTACCCGTCACAATCTCTTTAAAATGGTCCAAATTTTTCTTTTAGTGCCCTACCCCCCTAATCTCATTTTGTCAATTTCACAATAAAATTTTCAGTTTTTAACCGTAACTTCAGATTTTCGAACATAAACCACTCTGGGGATTTTCTTAAACGATGCGCCAATGTCTCCTCTACAACACCTATATAGTTGTTGCCCGTCACAATCTCTTGAAGCTGGTCCAAAATTAACTTAAATTGGCCTACCCCCCTAATCTCATTTTGTCAATTTCACAATTTCAGTTTTTTAACGGTAACTTCAGATTTTCGAACATAAACCACTCTGGAGATTTTCATAAACGATGCGCCAATGTCTCCTCTACAACACCTATATAGTCGTTGCCCGTCACAATCTCTTTAAAATGGTCTAAATTTTTCTTTTAGTGCCCTACCCCCTTAATCTCATTTTGTCAATTTCACAATAAAATTTTCAGATTTTTAACCGTAACTTCAGATTTTCGAACATAAACCACTCTGGAGATTTTCCTAAACGATGCGCCATTGTCTCCCCTACAACACCTGTATAGTCGTTGCCCGTCTCAATCTCTTGAAATTGGTACAAAATTAACTTAAATTGGCCTACCCCCCTAATCTAATTTTGTCAATTTCACAGTTTCAGTTTTTTAACCGTAACTTCAGATTTTCGAATATAAACCACTCTGGAGATTTTCTTAAACGATGCGCCAATGTCTCCTCTACAACACCTTTATAGTCGTTGCCCGTCACAATCTCTTTAAAATTGTCATTTTTTTTTCTTTTAGTGCCCTACCCCCCTAATCTCATTTTGTCAATTTCACAATAAAATTTTCAGTTTTTTAACCGTAACTTCAGATTTTCGAACATAAACCACTCTGGAGATTTTCCTAAACGATGCGCCAATGTCTCCTCTACAACACCTATATAGTCGTTGCCCGTCACAATCTCTTGAAATTGGTCCAAAATTAACTTAAATTGGCCTCCCCCTAATCTCATTTTGTCAATTTCACAATTTCAGTTTTTTAACCGTAACTTCAGATTTTCGAACATAAACCACACTGGAGATTTTCTTAAACGATGCGCCAATGTCTCCTCTACAACACCTTTATAGTCGTTGCCCGTCACAATCTCTTTGGTATGGTCCAAATTATTCTTTTAGTGCCCCACCCCCCTAATCTCATTTTGTCAATTTCACAATAAAATTTTCAGATTTTTAACCGTAACTTCAGATTTTCGAACATAAACCACTCTGGAGATTTTCTTAAACGATGCGCCAATGTCTCCTCTACAACACATATATAGTCGTTGCCCGTCACAACCTCTTGAAATTGGTACAAAATTAACTTAAATTGGCATACCCCCCTAATGTAGTTTTGTCAATTTCACAGTTTCAGTTTTTTAACCGTAACTTCAGATTTTCGAACATAAACCACTCTGGAGATTTTCTTAAACGATGCGCCAATGTCTCCTCTACAACACCTTTATAGTCGTTGCCCGTCACAATCTCTTTAAAATGGTCAAAATTTTTTCTTTTAGTGCCCTACCCCCCTAATCTCATTTTGTCAATTTCACAATAAAATTTTCAGATTTTTAACCGTAACTTCAGATTTTCGAACATAAACCACTCTGGAGATTTTCTTTAACGATGCGCCAATGTCTCCTCTACAACACCTATATAGTCGTTGCCCGTCACAATCTCTTTAAAATGGTCCAAATTTTTCTTTTAGTGCCCTACCCCCCTAATCTCATTTTGTCAATTGAACAATAAAATTTTCAGATTTTTAACCGTAACTTCAGATTTTCGAACATAAACCACTCTGGAGATTTTCCTCAACGATGCGCCAATGTCTACTCTACAACACCTATATAGTCGTTGCCCGTCACAATCTCTTGAAATTGGTACAAAATTAACTTAAATTGGCCTACCCCCCTAATCTCATTTTGTTAATTTCACAGTTTCAGTTTTTTAACCGTAACTTCAGATTTTCGAACATAAACCACTCTGGAGATTTTCTTAAACGATGCGCCAATATCTCCTCTACAACACCTATATAGTCGTTGCCCGTCACAATCTCTTGAAATTGGTCCAAAATTAACTTAAATTGGCCTCCCCCTAATCTCATTTTGTCAATTTCACAATTTCAGTTTTTTAACGGTTACTTCAGATTTTCGAACATAAACCACTCTGGAGATTTTCTTAAACGATGCGCCAATATCTCCTCTACAACACCTATATGGTCGTTGCCCGTCACAATCTCTTGAAATTGGTCCAAAATTAACTTAAATTGGCCTCCCCCTAATCTCATTTTGTCAATTTCACAATTTCAGTTTTTTAACGGTAACTTCAGATTTTCGAACATAAACCACTCTGGGGATTTTCCTAAACGATGCGCCAATGTCTCCTCTACAACACATATATAGTCGTTGCCCGTCACAATCTCTTGAAATTGGTACAAAATTAACTTAAATTGGCCTACCCCCCTAATCTCGTTTTGTCAATTTCATAGTTTCAGTTTTTTAACCGTAACTTCAGATTTTCGAACATAAACCACTCTGGAGATTTTCCTAAACGATGCGCCAATGTCTCCTCTACAACACCTATATAGTCGTTGCCCGTCACAATCTATTGAAATTGGTCCAAAATTAACTTAAATTGGCATCCCCCTAATCTCATTTTGTCAATTTCACAATTTCAGTTTTTTAACGGTAACTTCAGATTTTCGAACATAAACCACTCTGGAGATTTTCTTAAACGATGCGCCAATGTCTCCTCTACAACACCTTTATAGTCGTTGCCCGTCACAATCTCTTTAAAATGGTCCAAATTTTTCTTTTAGTGCCCTACCCCCTAATCTAATTTTGTCAATTTCACAATAAAATTTTCAGATTTTTAACCGTAACTTCAGATTTTCGAACATAAACCACTCTGGGGATTTTCCTAAACGATGCGCCAATGTCTCCTCTACAACACATATATAGTCGTTGCCCGTCACAATCTCTTGAAATTGGTACAAAATTAAATTTAATTGGCCTACCCCCCTAATCCAATTTTGTCAATTTCACAGTTTCAGTTTTTAACCGTAACTTCAGATTTTCGAACATAAACCACTCTGGAGATTTTCTTAAACGATGCGCCAATGTCTCCTCTACAACACCTTTATAGTCGTTGCCCGTCACAATCTCTTTAAAATGGTCAATTTTTTTTCTTTTAGTGCCCTACCCCCCTAATCTCATTTTGTCAATTTCACACTAAAATTTTCAGTTTTTTAACCGTAACTTCAGATTTTCGAACATAAACCACTCTTGAGATTGTCCTAAACGATGCGCTAACGTCTCCTCTATAACACCTATATAGTTGTTGCCCGTCACAATCTCTTTAAAATGGTCCAAATTTAACTTAAATTGGCCTAACCCCCAATCTCATTTTGTCAAATTCACAATTTCAGTTTTTTTAACCGTAACTTCAGATTTTCGAACATAAACCACTCTGGAGATTTTCCTAAACGATGCGCCAATGTCTCCTCTACAACACATATATAGTCGTTGCCCGTCACAATCTCTTGAAATTGGTACAAAATTAACTTAAATTGGCCTACCCCCCTAATCTCATTTTGTCAATTTCACAGTTTCAGTTTTTAACCGTAACTTCAGATTTTCGAACATAAACCACTCTGGAGATTTTCTTAAACGATGCGCCAATGTCTCCTCTACAACACCTTTATAGTCGTTGCCCGTCACAATCTCTTTAAAATGGTCATTTTTTTTTCTTTTAGTGCCCTACCCCCTAATCTCATTTTGTCAATTTCACACTAAAACTTACAGTTTTTTAACCGTAACTTCAGATTTTCGAACATAAACCACTCTTGAGATTTTTCTAAACGATGCGCCAATGTCTCCTCTATAACACCTATATAGTTGTTGCCCGTCACAATCTCTTGAAGCTGGTCCAAAATTAACTTAAATTGGCCTAACCCCCAATCTCATTTTGTCAATTTCACAATTTCAGTTTTTTTAACCGTAACTTCAGATTTTCGAACATAAACCACTCTGGAGATTTTCTTTAACGATGCGCCAATGTCTCCTCTACAACACCTATATAGTCGTTGCCCGTCACATTTTCTTTAAAATGGTCCAAATTTTTCTTTTAGAGCCCTACCCCCCTAATCTCATTTTGTCAATTTAACAATAAAATTTCAGATTTTTAACCGTAACTTCAGATTTTCGAACATAAACCACTCTGGAGATTTTCCTAAACGATGCGCAAAAGTCTCCTCTACAACACCTATATAGTCGTTGCCCGTCACAATCTCTTGAAATTGGTACAAAATTAACTTAAATTGGCCTACCCCCCTAATCTCATTTTGTCAATTTCACAGTTTCAGTTTTTTAACCGTAACTTCAGATTTTCGAACATAAACCACTCTGGAGATTTTCTTAAACGATGCGCCAATGTCTCCTGTACAACACCTTTATAGTTGATGCCCGTCACAATCTCTTTAAAATGGTCAATTTTTTTTCTTTTAGTGCCCTACCCCCCTAATCTCATTTTGTCAATTTCACACTAAAATTTTCAGTTTTTTAACCGTAACTTCAGATTTTCGAACATAAACCACTCTTGAGATTTTCCTAAACGATGCGCCAACGTCTCCTCTATACCACCTATATAGTTGTTGCCCGTCACAATCTCTTGAAGCTGGTCCAAAATTAACTTAAATTGGCCTAACCCCCAATCTCATTTTGTCAATTTCACAATTTCAGTTTTTTTAACCGTAACTTCAGATTTTCGAACATAAACCACTCTGGAGATTTTCTTAAACGATGCGCCAATGTCTCCTCTACAACACCTATATAGTCGTTGCCCGTCACAATCTCTTTAAAATGGTCAAAAATTTTTCTTTCAGTGCCCTACCCCCCTTATCTCATTTTGTCAATTTCACAATAAAATTTTCAGTTTTTTAACCGTAACTTCAGATTTTAGAACACAAACCACTCTGGAGATTTTCCTAAACGCCAATGTCTCCTCTACAACACCTATATTGTCGTTGCCCGTCACAATTTCTTGAAATTGGTACAAAATTAACTTAAATTGGCCTACCCCCCTAATCTCGTTTTGTCAATTTCACAGTTTCAGTTTTTTAACCGTAACTTCAGATTTTCGAACATAAACCACTCTGGAGATTTTCTTAAACGATGCGCCAATGTCTCCTCTACAACACCTATATAGTCGTTGCCCGTCACAATCTCTTTAAAATGGTCCATTTTTTTCTTTTAGTGCCCTACCCCCCTAATCTCATTTTGTCAATTTCACACTAAAATTTTCAGTTTTTTAACCGTAACTTTAGATTTTCGACATAAACAACTCTGGAGATTTTCCTAAACGATGCGCCAATGTCTCCTCTATAACACCTATATAGTTGTTGCCCGTCACAATCTCTTGAAGTTGGTCCAAAATTAATTTAAATTGGCCTACCCACTTAATCTCATTTTGTCAATTTCACAATTTCAGTTTTTTAACCGTAAATTCAGATTTTCGAACATAAACCACTCTGGAGATTTTCCTAAACGTTGCGCCAATGTCTCTACATCATCTATAGGCAGTCATTGCCCGTCACAATCTCTATAAATGGGTCAACAATCAACTTATGGTATCCCCCCTTTTCGTTTTTAATTACAATTTTTTCAACCTAACTTCAGATTTTTTAACATAAACCATCCTGGAGTTTGTCTTAATAGATATGCTAATGTCTCAGCTGCATCACCTATGCAGTCGTGTACCGTCACAATCACTATAAATGGGTCAAAAATCAACTTAATGTATGCCCCCTCCTCCCTTTTCGTTTTTACAATTTCAGTTTTTTAAACTTAACTTCAGATTTTTAAACATAAACCATTCTGGAGTTTGTCTTATTAGATACGATAATGTCTACTCTATGTTACCTTTACAGTTGTTGCCTGTCACAATCTCTATAAATTGGTCAAAATCTTTATGGTATCCCTTTTGTTTTAAATTTTTTTATTCGTTTTTGTTTAATATTTTGAATATTCCGCTAGGTCTCTGTAAGTGTTCGCTAGCTCGAAAAAAACATGATTGTCTTATGTGAAATTGTGGTTTTTAGTTATACCTCCTAATTGTTCGCTGGCTAATTGTTCGCTACAATTGTTCGCTAGCTTGAGTCAAGTTTAACCTCGCAATATATCCATGTGCCTGTCCTTTGTCAGTGATTATCTTATCTCCTTTGTTGATGTTTTTGTAATTTGGAAAATTCAGTGTTAATGAAATATCTTTTATTTTTCAGGTTGAATTTAACCACAACTTTTATAGACTTGCGACTATAACGAATTTGACATATCGCATGTATGTATATACACCTTTATATTTATCAAAGTTGTACATATATCGATGCAAGTTTGTTGTGTTTGGTAAGGTACACGTGTTTATGCTATTTATAGATAGGTCTGTTTGATTTGGTTATATAAAGTATGCGAGTAGAATTTCATGCACGGGTGGTTTGATAGTAGATAAAGTCATTCGAGTCATTGCAGTCAAGTGTGCAAGAGGCTTTTTTCCAAATAAATAATTATAAAAATTATTTATTTACAGGTTGATAGTTCAAGATGGGTCGCAAATATTGATGTGCTAGTCAGAGACAGACAATTCTCACAATTCTCATTGATATAAAATGAATTACGTGTACTTATTACCTGAATAAAAATGCACTTGACTTTTGCAAGTGGCTACTCCCAAGTGAGAGTTTTGTTTTATATTGATAAATGTTTTATGTTCGGTTGAGGTTACGAATTAGAACATAAGTCTAATTTTGAAGACTGTGGGATGTCCTCTAGACGTCTTGTGATTATTTTTGTCGTTTGGTTCACGTTTCATTGGCGTATACGCTATATCTCCTTTTATTCGTTATATATACATGTGCATTCAAGTTGCATTTTCCAGGATTTCTGGCACGTGCTTACTATTGTGGAATCTTTAAAAAGGAAAATGATAGATTAATTTTAATCGTTGGTCAGTTACCAAAGCGTTCTGTTTGGAAGGGATTTGAAGTTCTAGAAATACTTTTGTATTTTTTAGTGGAAAAACAAATACTGCATGAATAAACTTGAATAAAGGTTTCTTAAAGGATTTACATTTAACTGCATTATACTTGGGGTTACCCCCAAAAAATGCAACATTTTTAATACAAAATGCTTTCCTTTCCAAAGCATTTTGGTTCACCAATGGTTTTCATTCTTATACGTTTATTTTCGATTAAATGCTATATTTTCTTAACGATTGCCATTATCTTTCTGTTTATTGCTTTTGCTTTGGTATTTTTGTTTTCTTCAACTATAAGTTCGCATGCTGTTTTATTTTTCTTTTGATATCAATTTTACCACATTTTAGAAATGCCCAATGTCTTTATTCAAAACCATCGTATATATTTTTCCTATAATACTTGATACTTTTACTGTTGATTTCCAAATTCACTTTGTTTTAAAAACTAAAGAAAATGACTTTTGAGTTCTCTGAAGAAGATGAAAACGTGTTGCAATTTAATATCATATTCATTCAATATGAAATTTTATATTATTGAAAACGATAATTAGAAATGTACTTTTTTCAATACAACACAATGAATTAAAATCATCATATCATTTAACAATATTTTCCGAGACAAATCATAATTTTTTTCAGCTTGAACAATTAATTTAAAAAGTGCCAATAACAATAGTTATTCACCAGTATTGGGTTCTCGTTTGCATGTCGTAACAGATGAGTTCATTTCCGTTACTTAATTAAAATTGATTAACGACCAGTTTTAATGTGCAAGAAAATATATATTACAGATGCAATATTCTAAGTTGTTGATTGTATTATATTCAAACATTTTAACCATCATTGTACGTTTGGACTTAATTAACAGGTAAAGTTCTTTACAATGGATTTTAGACGAAACGATTTTTAAACTTACGTAGAAGAAGTACTGTACAAATATTATTTAGTTTCGACACAAAACAAAAACTCATTCAGATCATGGAATGTATATATATTTCGTTTTCCTTTAAAACTAAATGTTGGTTTATGTCAAGGATGCTTATATTTTATTGTATTTTTATGTCGTTCCTGATAATGTATCGTTATTGGGCCATTAAAGTCTTATCTTTGGTCTTCCATATGGCAAGAATATGCCAACGTATGCATTCACTCATAGGGTCTTTGCACCGGAAGTAAACACATTTACTCTTAAATGTCCAGTTGTTGGCATGATATATATATATATATATATATATATATATATATACAAGTCTAAATTGGAAACAACGTTCAAACCTATGATTGCGTTGGATAAAAACCGCAATTTTTATACGTGTGCATGCAAAACAAATTTCTTGATAGAGGGGTCTAAATACAGCACAAACAACATTTTCGAAAAGACCAAAAAAGTGAAAAAGTATATTTTAACAAAACACATTTGACTAACAGGTCGAACAACAAATGTTCTTAAACCCTGCTGACTGCCATTGGCGATTGCCAAATAAACGGATCACCGATGTAATAAATGGGTCTTAATTATAAATTTAAGACTAAACAGAGAACAATAAACTTGCGGAAAAGATGGTATACCGCAAACAAAAGATGCAAAAGTTTTTATACACCATATCCGGATTTCGACAATTAATGTCTCTTCAGTGATGTTAGGAATCGAAACGGTATTTGGAAAGCCATACAATTTACCTCAATATATATACTGGTTACATGTATGTTCTTTTCGTATAATTTATGATGGCATGATACTAAACCCCTAACGGGAGGTATTGTGGTTGATTTTCATATGATGAAGACATAATCTTTCGATCGGTTTAATTGAGGTCTAGAGCTGGCATGTCAGTGACTGCTAGTAGTCCCTTGTTAATTAATTTTTACTCGGTTAACGTGAGGGAATCCGAAGTAATGTTACGGCAGTTTCTGTGTGTGCTTTTAAACACGCATTACTGCGTATACATGTAAATACACTGACGTTATCGAGTGCAAAATGGAATTCTTTATCGCTTCATACATATTGATATTATCAATGAAATTTCATGAAATTTTTTTTTAAGAACAATTATTTGTAATCAGCATGTTTTGTCTTGAGAAATATATATCAGCAAAAAATCATGAATATCATAATAACGAACAGGTACCTATAGAATAGAATAGAATATTTTTATTTCCCAAATTACAGGGCCTATAAAGGGCAGATACAATTGATTTACATAATTGGTAACAACAACAATAATAGTCACTTGAAAATATATATTTAGTATATTAGCATTGGTCAGAATCAGAGCCAAAAACCACATATATATTGTGAATAAAAGAATAAAATTACATTATATGCATTCATTCTCAAATCATTTACTTGACTTAGTGTCAATATGCATACCTGATCTCCTTAATTCAAAACAGTCACAAATATAACAGCCCAGTTTTTCCATAAGAGTTACATTTTCTTGAGTCAAGAGCCATACAAATTTAGAAGATTTATTTAAATTTTTAAAATTATAACAATTGTCAGATATGTATTGAAAAAAGTCTTCCCTTTGAGTATCATAAAGAGGACATTCTAACAAAATGAAGCTCATCTTCAACTTTACCAAGTGAGCAATTTGAACAAAGACGCTCAGATCTTTCTATATATTTTTTTGAATATCTGTCTGTCTCAATTTTTAAAGAGTGAGCACTTATTCTTAATTTACAAATTGACTGTTACCTATATACATTGGTCATCTCAGTACCCATAATGCACGCGGATGAATTTTAAGAATTGTATGCATATGCATGTTCCTTGTGAATAACAATATGACGGACTTAATTATACAGAGTTATCTACGGTAACCCTTTGAATACTATCAAATACACGAAACTGAATGCATTTTTATTTTTTACAATAGTTCTCATAGAATGATTGTTTCAAAGATATCATTATGTGTGATTCCGTATTTTGAAGTTATCATTATAGGTTTACCTATGTAAAAAAATATTTCCTATGTGAACTTAAATAAGATATTACACAAATCCTACTAGATCGTGCGGACTAGTTCAGACCTTAAAATAAATAATTCATTTCAACAAGTTCTAAAAATTACTTTGAAAATTTGATTCATAATGAAATGCAAAAAAATTGATGAAAAAAGTAAACTTTATCTATATAAGAACCTTAAACAAAATTTGATTGTTGAAGACTATTTTAAAACACCAAACTTTACATATAGAAAATTAATGACAAAACTAAGAATTAGAGACAATAATTTAAATATTGAAAAAGGAAGACATTCTAATATTCCTAGAGAACTGGCATTATGCCTTAAATGTAACATATGAGAATATGATTCAGAAAGACATTTTTATTAGATTGTGAATTAAATAGCCGGGGAGCTGAGAAACAAATACACCTTTCTGTTCAAGATTTGTCTGATGAAGAAAATGCGACTTTTATGCTCAATCCATCAACACCATCACAAGTAAATAAATTGGGGTGGCACATTAAAAAGTCATTAGAACTGCGGGTATGTGACTCTGGACTATTCAAGTTACTGTAAATGATTGTGTATATGTATGTGAATTTCAGTTATATTGTATATATCTATATAACTAAAGGAAGAGACCGAATTCATTGAGCCGCAACTCCTCTGAAACCATACAAAGTCGGAAATATATGTGATATGACGTATAAATGTAGTGTTTTTTACTTCCTAAATATGTCTTAAAAACAATTTTTTTTCTACAGAAAACGCCAATTTTTAAGAAATATCCAAATTCGGAGACCGTTATCGATCCGTGTCTTATACGCTTTCGCGCATGCTCAGTCGATTTTTTTTCATTTTGTTACTCATTTTGATCTCTTTCGGTAATGTCAACGGATCTTACGTACGTAGCTCATACGGTTATTGAGTTAAAAGGATGAAAGCTACTGAAAATCACACTTTACCACACTTTTCTTAGGGTATTTAATACTTTTATTTTCCAACCGAGATGAAAGGGGTCTTTTGCATTATGTTCCTCATTTTCATCTCTTTAAAGAAATAGAATTGAATGCGTTAACCGTGTCCAAATCCTTACTGTGTCCATCTTATTACTGTGTCCACATTCTTTGTTTCAACACTTACCCAATTGTACCGCAATTTCGCGGGCATCTTCT